ATCTTAGGTGTCGCTTAGGTACAGCTTGTGTACCTCAGAAATGGTATTTAAAATCTTTAACAACTCAGCTGTTTGACATGAGAACAGTTATTATTTGCATACCTCCAGAAGTAGGGGGTTTTTCCCTTTATTTTTATTTTTTCCATTAACATGTTCAGGACTAGCTAAACTGTGCAATGAATTTCTGTTGGCTTTTGAAAGGATCTGAAGACTTGGACTGTTTCTCTGTGTTCTCACAGGTAGCAAGATATTGGAGGGTAATCTGTTACACAGCTTACTGAAACATTTCCAATAGATACGTAGCTAGAAACAGTCAATTCAAGAAACAGGATTCAGACTTTTTAGTAAGCTGTAGAGGGTCCAAGGCTTCCAGGTGCTGTGGTTTCTTGGGCATTCTCTCCTTTCTAGTATTTCTAATCTTTCATACATGGCTTTGGGAACTGCAAACTCTTGCTTGAGTTGATGTTTCTTTCATGGATATAGTGTAGCATGTGGGCAGATCCACAAATGAGGTGCTGATATTGGAAACCTATGCAGCTGCCAGTTTAAGGAAATAATTTTTTTAGCTGTTTTTCTTGAAATGAAAATCTTCCCTAACTTCTGACTTGCAGACAATTTTCAGTATCTTGAAATCTCACTCCAAAACTTTTAATCTGCTTTAAAATAGTTTTAAAACCCAAACAAAATGCTTTAAAATCTTCTAAAATGCTTTGAGTATTTAAGTATTAAAAGCACAAGTTGAAGTAACAAATGAGCACAACAAAAAGTTGTTAGAAGTGCTTGAAATCTAAATTAAAGTATTTCACAGCTAAGCAGAAGTATATTGTATATCATTACTGAGTCTGTAGAAAGAAACTGCTATGCTACCTCAGCAGATCAGTCTTCACTTAAAGAAAATGAATATATATTTGTATTGAAACACTATTTAGGATGAAATGTTAACCTAGCCTTTATTCAAAGTCGTCAGGAATATAAAAGTTGCACTGAAATCCTTAGTTATAAAAGGTGTAATATTTTAATGGAAGCACATCCAATGTTCAGAGAAAGTTGAATCTAAAACTTTGAAAAAGTCTTTGGTGGTGGGTTAGCTGTTTTTAATTTGAACATACTCATTTTACTTCAAAAAAAGTAGATGGAAAGCACTAGTAAAGAAGGCAAGACAAAAAAGAACCCTTAATAATCACTAATAGTTAAATAATGAGTAGTGGAGTAGAAGTGAAGGCAAAGGCCTTGCTGTAGGTTTAATATCAGGGTGGGAATGCTGTATGGATAATTTTATTAGGAACTTCTCTGTCCCTAGCAGTGTAGTTTCTGTTTTGTTGTTAGTTGAACAGTGAGGTCCCACTTCCCCGCCTTGGAGCTCAGAGTTTGTTGCTGGCCATTGACAGCAGGATGGCTGTTCTGAGGTGGACCCGCAGCTTTTTCTTTATTCTTAAGTCTTAAATGCTTTTCCTGTTTATATCCTGTCTCTGGTACAGTATTTAACCAGTAGTTGCACTGATGTCTGTAGGACTACTCAAGACAGTAAAATTACAAATAAAATATGTATGTGAAGCTTTTTCTTTATGCCAGTGATCCTCACATCTTCTTACCAGACTCTTCTGCAGTATTCCTACAGTTGATTCAGTGACTTATAGGTGAAAATTCATGACTACTCAGAGTTAAAAATGAATGCTAATTTCATATAATTTAAGATGGCATAAAGCTGTATTTGCAGTGCATTGCTTCAAGTATAAAAGCAGTGGGCCTTCTATTAGTAATTCATAACAAAAACTGTACTCCTAGTATATTATAATGCCATGCTAGCGTTATACTTCCATGTCATTACATTCTGCCTTGAAGTCTGCTGCTACTGTTGGGCTTCAGTGCACCATAATTAATCAACTCTCTGACACAACACCCCCTGTTTTTGGAAATTAAGCTAAATACAATCCTTGATGCCTAGTGCAGCGTAGTCTGCACTAGGGCATACTGCATTCTTTCTTCCATTTGAATTCATGCAAAGGTAAGCAGGTTGTTGTTTTATACATATGTATTACTGAGTAACTGCTTGGGGGCTGCAGTGTAAATCAAGGAGAGATTATTCACAAGTTTCACTTTCACTTTAACCATGGGAGAGACTTCAAATTCTCTTGAACTGAAACTGATGGATTTAAACTGGCTTTAGCCTACGGTGCTTAAGACAAAAGCCTGATTCTGGGAATGTATATTGACCCAGCTGGAGTGATAACAAAATCAAGAAAGAATGCTGTATATTTTGAAAAAAAAGTAACAAATAAAGCCAACCTATAAAAAAACCTATACCTGACTATAGGCTAAACCTGCAAAGGTGGTGTTACAGCTTACTAGAATGCTGTTTCTGGAAAGATCTTTAGAACTTAGACTTACTTGTGTATGATAAATTATAGTCAGAAAATACCTAACTTAAAGACTCAGGTTTTATTTTTTGTAATTAGTAGGATGTTCCTCATTTTGATGAATGTAGTTGCATGGGCATTGCTGTGACGAAGAGCAGCCACGGAGCAACTGTTAGGACACAGTATGCTTTTTGCTTCAAAAGCTGGAGGACATCTAATCATTGCTCATTCTAGTGAATAGCCATCCTTTCCTCCCGTGTGTGCGCTGTTTCGCAAGCAGAAAACTGACCTTATTCTAGAAGCTGAAGCAACTCTGTGGAGGCTCAGATAAATTGGATGCAGCTAAGCAGCTGATACTCTGACTGCGTGCCCCAAACCAAAAAGATATACTGAAGTTATGGTGAAGCAAGCCTTCAAGTTAGCAGGCTTGGAACAGAACTTCTTTTCCTTTTCCTGCACTGAGCATGCAAAGGGACCCGAAAGGGCTCCGTACCTAAAACGTAGCTGTACGTTAGAGCAAGGCAACTCCTTAAAAAGAGACAGTTTAGAACTGCTGGGGTGAGACAGGTTAGAGATGTGCCCTTGCTCGTGGGACGAGAGGAGGTGGGTCTCTTCTGCCAGTCCTGCCTTCCAGTCTAGCAGCTTTTGTTGTCTGTCTTGCACAAACCCAGGGACTGTGTCCGTGAAGGGCCCCCGTGCCCTTTCCCAGGCTCCCGCAGGCTGTGCGTCAACATTTCCTCATTGTCTGCACTGTTACTCATCCCTTTTGCTTATTATTGCCTAGAAAATATCTAAACTTGCTCTCAGTCACTCTTGGGAAGAAGCAGTCATTGCCTTGGTTCCTGAGGGTTTTTCCAGCCCAGAAGGTGTATGGTGAGCTAGTCAGAGTCTTTCCTGCTGTCCAGCCACAGTCTTCCTAAAGAACTACTATACACAATGACTTGTGAACAAACAAGTGTCTATCCTCTATTGTAGGTGAATTGGTATCTAACTTAATTGAAGGGTTGAACTCTGAAATCATTACTGTGCTTCACAGAAAACAATAATGTTATGTCTTGTTTCCTCTGTCTAATTTTGACAGGATGTGTGTATTTGTAATTGAAGATGTGAAAATGCAAGTAAGTAAAACAGGTCCAAATATTTGTTGGAAGAACAATAATAGAATTGCTGACACCAATAGAATTTAATGATCCACTGGTTGGTGATACCTAAATGAGCAAGAAAAAAGGGAAACCCTAATCCTTCCTGCATATTTCCCCAAGCCTGTGTTACAGTTTGGGAACTAATCCATCAATGCATGTTACCTATGCAAAGAAGGTGAAAACTCTGCTGTTCAGCTGATTATAATGGGACTGTCTTAAAAAGTATCACCTTGATTGTGCTGGTTACTTTGTACTTGAGTCTTTCAAACTGCAAATCTCAGTGATTGTGTGCCTAGCCGTGCTTTTAACGCTTTCTGGTTTGCTTGAACATAATTTATAGCGCTTGTATTATGCCTTCCCTCACAAATTTTGCAGGCGGTTGTACTGGTTATCGTCACAAAAGACATTTGCTGTCTTTCTAGACAAAAGCAGAATACTGACTGTTCATTACAAGTAAAACATGGATTTTTTTTTTTATTATTTTAATTTACCTGGACTCTTTAGAAATTAGTTATGGTGGGGAGTTCCCCCATTTGTGAAATGCTGTAAATACCAAAAAGTATGTCAAGTCAGGTCTGATCTTCCATCTGAATTACTTGCGCAAGAGTCTTAACATCTTAAACTTTCAAATATTTGTAGTTAAAGTTTTATAGGTATCTCCAGTAACTAGTTTAGCTTAATGCTATTGGTCATATCAGTCTTCTGGTTCGTATAGGGTGGCTCCAGAGAATTATCACTGTTGCCAACTAGGTCCGCAGCAAAGCATTGTTATTTTGCTGGATCCCTTTTATTTGCTTGCTGACTGTTTTATGTTTTATCCATACTGTGCTGGATAAAACTCTATTTTAAAAGTGAAAGTCCAAGGTAATCTCAGCTGCAGCTTTTCCAAATGGCATTGTGGTGATGAGCACTGCACTTTCCTACCAGGTAGCTAGTGAGCATCTTGAAGGCTAGTCCTAGGAGGGATGATGACCTTTGGCTGGTCTTTCCAGGTGCTGCTGAAATGTTTAAGTACTTAGTAGGTTTGAAGACCTTGTGACATGAAACATCAGCCAGCTGTTGCCATTCTTTTTTGTCCCTTTGTTTTCACTCCTTACCCTCTGTTACGTGTGCAGCATGTACTTTTTAAAAGCTCACTTTAGTAGAAAAGTCATACTGATAAAAGCTAGTATTTTGGGGTCTTATTTCGAGCTAATATCAAGTCTTTGGTATTTGATGATTTTTATTTACAGGATAAGAGATTTTTATTTATAGGAGAGAGGATGAGATTATGTGAAATTAGGAAGAATGTCAGAAAAAAGGAGTTAAGCTCTAGGAAGATAAAAGTATATAATATGTGTCTTGGGAGTGAGAAGGAAGTGAAGGTGGGTACTGAAAGAAATTATTTTTAAACTGTTTTTATTTCCACGAGTGGATTTTTTTTGTTTATTTTCTAGCACTGGGAAGTCTAAAATTTGATCTGCTGTAACAGACATCTGTGTTTTTTCCTTCCTTCTAACAGGTCGTGACAATGCATGTGAGAAGACTTCCTATATGTTTCTGCGGAAAGAACTTCCTGTGCGACTAGCTAACACAATGAGAGAAGTCAATTTGTTGCCTGATAACTTACTTAACCGGCCTTCAGTTGGGCTAGTACAGAGTTGGTAAGTTTAAAAATATTGGATTGAAAAATAAGTGTAAAACACTGTATTTGTTGCTTTACTTGCAACTCAGCTTGAATTGTCTTGAACTGAAGTCTGTTTTCTGCCTTGAATTGTTTATAATGCATGTTTCTTGTCAAATGAAGTTTCATTTTCTTCTGTCTCATATTAAGTAAATACTCTAATATGGATCTTGGAGATAAGAATTTGTTAGTCTTCTAAGTTAGTAAAAGCATACTGTTGTCTCCCAGATAATTAGAATTGGTCAATAACTTCTAAGAGCAAGCTTTTAAAATATTCCTTACTGTATTGCACACATGAGTTCTTGAAATAGCTGTTCTTTCACTGTATTCTTCCTTTGTCAAAAATATGGAAAGAAAATTTAAACCATCTGTTCTTTTTATTCCTATATCTTTAAAATCATAACCTGGTATTCAGTGGAAGTTACAGAACAGGTCAGAAATCTGGTGTTGTCCAGTAAGTAACATTCTCCATTGTAATAACTAGTGTAAATCCGAAGTGCTTCAAAGTCCTGTCATCTTTTCCACATTAATTATTTCTAGCCTACTTACATGTTTAGTGAGATTTGGAGATTACTGCCTTGTATGTATTAAGCTCTAAAAAATTTTTGTTCGTGGGGTATTTATTGTCTCTCTATCTGCAAATACTTGACACAAAGAATTGATGTAAAAATATCTTTGCAGTATACAACAGACTTCCCTTTGTGAGTAACAGCTTGTCTAACTAAACAGCGACTAACGTTGTAGGCTTCTGTTAAGTTCAGTCATAGCCCTTGAGCCAAGAAAATTCCACGTTGACTGTACACTGACTGCTGGGTTTGGTCTCATATTTGTCAAGCTTCAGATTTGGAAAATATAAATTAGGGTATGTGATGCTGCGTACTTTGGTTTAAATATGTTTGTTTCTGAAAGGTAACACTAGCTGTCTTGATGACCATTTCAAACATAGTGATTAAGTGCTTCAAATAAATGTAAATGCCGTGGAGCCACCCAGTAACAATCACTTTGTGGTTAAGTGGCAGCTTGTAAGGTTTAAAGGCTTGTATCATGTCTGATGTTACTGGAAGCTGTTATGCCAAATACGAAAGAGTGGATAATATGCAAGCCTTTTAGGCTTTTCTAATCTAGATGACTCGTGAAGCTGTCTTTAGTGAAAAGTAGACAGATAGGTGAATGAAGCAGCTCTACATAATTCTTTTAGTCCAAATACATGTTCTGTGGCATATGCTTCTGCCCTGCAAATACAGAGTTGAGCAACATCTGGATCACTTCTGGCAAAGGAACTGAATGGGTGTTTAGAGTGGATGCCCACTTCAGAATTTTTTCTTAGAGGTTTGAGGACTCATGGGATGACTTTTATGACTGCAATAGATACTACTGATTTGAGAGGGGAAAAAAAAAAATCACTCTCAAGTGTCTTAGAATATATAGTGACTGTAAGACACTTGTCCGAGTCATGTATTTTATATGATCATGTGATTTGCACTATCACACCTATAGACTGATAGCTTTCTGTTAAATGTGCCAAAATATCAGACTGTACTGTGATGAAGTTCACGTGGACATCCAACCCAGAGATGGAAGTGTGAAATCAAAACGTTTGTTGTAGTGTTCTTCTAACTTTGATTCTCAGTTAACTAACAGGTTTTGTGGCAAGGAATATCTTCACTGCGATTACGCAAGAATATTTTTGTGATCTTAAGTCAGAAGTAACAAAAGTAACTGTAGCATGTTGTTTTTCTGATTATAGATACGGACTTTGAAAAGTTTATTTCTTATATTTCTGTTTAGAGGTTTTTATTGCTTGTTTAAACATTTACCTGTAGATCATAAGTCCTAGTGATACACTGGTGCTAAACCTTGGGCAAAATTTACTGTATCAGTAAAAGACCAAAACAGAACAGTTTTATTAACTTCAGTGGGAATGACCTTGAGTATTACGCAGCTATGCTGATAGCAGGTTTTGAAGCATAGTTATAAATCTGAAGTTTAGGCATATCTAGAAAGAGATTCCTGAATTTTATGCAGTAGAATAAATATAAATTTAGCTATTCAGCTGTTTTGTGAACTTGTAAAATGAAGAAACCTCTTCTTGATGCACTTGTTTGATACTTCAAGAAGGAATTTTTTTCAGATCAGATTTCATGCTCCTTTATTTTTACTATGCCATAGGTTGAGGAAACTTGACAATTTATTAACATGCAAACAAAAAATCTGACATACATTTGCCACAAGTGAGCAAAGATGTAATTCAATGCATTATTCACCTTAATCTGTTTATTTGCTAATTGTCAGTAATTTATGTAGCCACCAGCATATTTGATTTAATTACGCTACCACTGTGCACTAGAAGCCTATGTTTTTATGTGCTTTTGGTGAGACTCCAGATTAGCTGGAGCTTTAAAATTTGAGTTCCCAGTCTATTCCTTAATGTCAGCATGCCAAAAAATACAAAAAAGCTCCTAATCTTTAAAGTAGGTTTTATTAAACTTTTAAATTAGATTAAGGTGGCTCTGTAAACAGCTGGAACTTAGGTTTGGTGGAGTAAGAAAACAAATTAACCCTGCCTACTGTATAGCATGGATCCTTTCCCGTCAGCCCTCTGTCCAGCCAGGCAGTGATGTTCTGTATTGCACAAATTTCCTAGTCCCTTAAGGTCCCTGGGAAAGCAACCTCATCTTGTCACTACTGAGAATATGCTCCCTGCTGCAGGCAAGCGCTGTTCTCTTCTCGGTTCTCTAATCCATCTTTATGGTCATGCTGTAGGCATTTTGCTTGCCATACCACGCTCCTTGACTGCACCGTACTGCCTAACAGATTTTACAACTGATTGCTTGATTGCTCTCAGGAAAGGTGCATTTTTTTTTCCTCCTTCTTTTCTGTGTTCCTTAGTCTGATGCGTGCAGCAATGAGGATAGGCAAGACAGCTGTCCTTCCTTTGTGCTATTCAGCTGTGCTTTTCTGAATAGAGCTGGCATTACCCACAAAGTCAACTATGAACAAAAAAAGTGTTGCATTTCAGTCTGTGCAGGTAAAACATTACCTCTGTCCCAGTTCGAGTTTGTAAGTTAGTTTATGTGTATGTTTTGCATGGTGTAGCAAGGGAAGGAATAAATTGAATCAAAATAACAACACAGTTAATATGTTCTAGCTGTGAACTCCAATGATTCCAAATAACAGACAGATCAACAGCCAGCATGCTAGGGATCAGCAACTTATTTTCAGTTTTTCAAAATTAATGGGCAACTTCCTAGTTCCAAAGAAGTGGGCCTTTTTTAGGCCAGCTTTAAGAGGGCATTCTAGCTAAAGTGCACTGCAGGTAGGATATTGAACACATGGCAGAATTACATAATAAAGGATACCATTAATTTGATGTGATGAGGGAAAATGGTTACAATAAAACCTTGTAATGGATGAGGTCAGAGCTTGTAAAGTATCTAAAGTGAGTGTGAGGTTTGCACAATATGCTACTCAGTCATAGCTAAAATTCACATTTTGATTAACCCTCACCAAATTTGTCATCTTTAGTGCTTTTGTCTGGAAAAGGCTATAAATTTCCATTTATCTCCTTGGAAAGAGCCATTAGAGAAATCAGTACAGTTTGGGGATTAATAATTGTTTTTTGTCTATTTTTTGCGTTCAGACTATGCTAACAAGATTGTGTTACCATGGAGATATGTTTTATCTTTTCAGTGCTTTAGTGTTAGTGAGATTCTAAGGGAAAATCTTAGTGAAATACACCTAGGGAAAAAGCAAATCTTAGTGAAATACACCTAGGGAAAAAGCAAAGGTATTTTGCATGAATTAAAAAAGAAAAGAAAATCTGGAGTTGACATTATGGGCATTTACAGTGATTTCATGTGTGAAATGTGCCATTCCAGAATTATTACATTTGACAGACTAACACGAATTCAATCTACCTGGCAGTAATTAACAAAAGAACAAGGCTAAAGGGTGCTTGAAACCAAAGAGTTTGCCCAACGAATTGTACTCTATTGTGACAAAAAAGTAAACACAGGAAAGACAACAGATTTGAAGGGCATAGGCTTTGATTTCTGCTTTTGATGACTCACCAAAGATAGCAAAATATAATTGACATTCTCTTTTTTTCATCTGTGGGGGTTTTTTTTGTAGATTTGTGTCCTGTACAGTTGTATTCATTTACTAATAGAATAGCAAGTCATCTGTTATTCTGGTACTTTTCTCCTTTATTCTAGCTGGCTGGTAATTGTGTGTGAAGTGTGTTTGAAACACCACAAGGTCTTGCGTTTCAGTGCTTGATAAATCCTGTAGTTACCACCATCATTTATCCATATCTGCACTCACAGTTCAAATGAAAAGAAAATTCAAGGAAATAGATTAATTTTATGAAAGGGGAATGACCTTTTTTACACACAGAGCTATTACAGGAGTGAGCTGCATTGCTGGCTGCTCACTTGTTAGGCAGATTGTGGTGGTGGTGAAGACAATGTTGTGAATTATTTATTACAGCTAACCAGAGTTATAAATTTCCTTTTAAACAAGCTTTTACTTTATTTCTTTAATTTTGAACTGTTTGGGAGGGAGCAGGGGGGGATGAATTTTGTGTAAAAGCTGGAAATTACAACTGGATAAAAGAAAAATGTACAGCATTTGCATCTCTGAGTTTATTTAGAGACTTGGGATAATATACAGGGTATTACAACATCCCAGGTTGGGTGACGTATAGTGGTAGGCATTGGGCAGTGTGTTAGGTTTGTTTGATGTAAGATTACTTTTTTCTAGCTTTATTTAGTCAAGGGATTGGAAGAAGTAGTAAAAGTGAGGGAAGAAATTTGAGTAGTAGAACTCTAGTAGAACTGTTGATCCTTCAGCACAGGAGTAGCAATGTTTGATTATTCCAGAGTATGAATCTCAATACAGCATAGCAGTAATGGTAGACAGCAAATCAAATCCACACAGCACAAAAATCAGGTATCGGCTGCCTTCAGTACCAGAAATACTCATTGCTGTTTTAGCCTCAGCATCAGCAGAGGGTTGCTGATGTTTGTTTCAGATTTCTGGTAGGAGGTCTGTAGTAAAAAGCACCTGCTGTGTTGCTTCTGAAGTGTGGTGGTTGTCCTGGATCTTCAGAAACAGGAGTTGCATAATATTATATGATGACAAGTGGGGGTGAGCAGCTTTCTAATAACCTCTTCTGACTGACTTTGCCACAAGAGAAGCTGTCGCTTCTTTCATGACACAGATTTACTGAAGCATCTTTCATATGGGAAGAAGCCGAGAATCTCCTTAGAGATATTCAGCAAGCTGTCTGGACTGTTCAGCCTGAAGAAAAGGCTTGGGTGGGCGGGGGTACAACATGAGGAGATGTGGGAGTGTGTGAAGGTGCGTACTCTTCTGGAGTACTGTGGTGGGACCAGCTTGGTGTGGTCTTGTTAGCATGGCTTTTGGGGAGTGTTCCCTGGAGCTTTATTTTGGAAGGAATTTTGGATCGCTCTGAGGAATGTGGGAGCAGACTAACATCTGTACAAAGTGGATGACCAGGAAATCAAGATCCAGGGATGAACGAAGTTACATGAAATTACAGACCTGCTTGATTTATATAGCAGTTTTCCTGAATTGTGGACTGTAGGGTCATAACCAATACTTTTAAACTCAACATATTTGCTTGCTTTCTGTTTGTTGCAGAATCCCACTTTATTTTAGCCTTTGCAGAGAACTGTGTACTATGCTTCCATTGTTTCAGATGAGGTTGTAGTCTTAAGATTAAAAAAAAATTCAAAAGTAATCTAGGTTTAAGTATTTTAACTCCTCCTTTATCATTTTTGCTTATTTCAGGTACATGCAGAGTTTCCTTGAGCTTTTAGAATATGAAAATAAAAGTCCGGAGGATCCGCATGTTCTGGATGAGTGAGTAATTTGTTCTCTTGTGATGGTTCATTTTAAAATCATCTGTCTCAAAAAACCAAGTGTTTTTGTACTATAGGGTAACAGTGATCTTATTTGTAAGGTAGAATTTGTGCAGCAAAGGCCAAAATTGTAAGCTGGAGCAGAATACAGGTATCCAAGTGCTTTTGAACAATATATTCTGCATTTATACAGTCTGATAGTTTAAGAAATGGCATGAAATGCTTCCTCCAAGGCTATATCGAGAAGACAACATGCCTGTGAGAATATACTTGTGTATCAAACACTTGTGATTAAAATGTCATTTTAGTATACATTGAGCTTAGTACTGTGTTGTATATAATGTGTATTAATTTATTAATTTACTAATTTATTAAATAATTAATACTTTGAATATTTTGAAAACTTTCACTGTGTCAGTCATTGTTTTTATCTAAAGCTTTTTTAATGGACTTCAATTATTGGTGTTCACCTACCTCATCGAATATTATGTTTTGAAAAGAAAGGAAAGCTTAGCCAAAGTTCTTTATCAACAAAATCATATTAACGTTGACATTACAATGTTTCCTTGAAATCTGTATGCATGAAACAGGAAAAAAAACCCCACATGTGAGAACAACAGGTTTGACACGTGTCAGACTTAAAACCAAACCAAAACACCCCCCAGCACTAAGGTCTGTGGTTATCCTGTACTGTATAGCAGTCAATTTTGTTTCAGGAGATTCCTTCTTGCAGGTTTTTTGTTCCATTGATTGGTTTTCTTAGGGTAGCTTGTCTTTTAAACTTGAATTTCTTTTTAAGCTCTGGAAATCTTGCCCGAGCAAGTATTGCTTTATAGGAAGTGTTTCATAAAACATCTTGCAGTCCAACAAATGCTCTGTTTGTGCAAGATGTGGCCTGTGCAAAAATGGTGTTTTGTCTTCAGTTAGTTTCAGATACATTAACTGCTATGTTAGGTTAAATAAGGGTTTTATTAGGTAATGCCTTCTAGATGTTATGCTCTTTTGGTTTTGAGCATGTTATCTGAGGTCTTTACACTTTATTTTTTAAGTATCAAGCAGTACGTGGCAGGAGAAACTGAAGTGCATGACTACCAAATTCCCTGTGTGGCAGAACTGTAGAAGAAGCCGTAAGGGTTACTGAGTGAGTGAATTGTAGTGCTATTGAAAGTAACTATTTTCTCAGTGCGAGTCCTAAGCTGGAATGCTGTATTCAGTTCTGGGTACTACCTATTAAGAAATTAAAACACACGCGGACAGTATTGATGTGAAAGGAAAGAATTAGAGACTTGGATAGTTCTACCTCTGAATAATGTTGAAGGCGTTTGTTTAGACTGGCAAAAAAGAGATTGAAGTGTGAGACGCTGGAAGTCTGAGTGTGCCAAAAAAAAAGTCACTGTAATAAAGGATGGTTGGTTCCTTTAAGTGAAGAAGTGGAGAATTTAAAAATGGCTGATTTTTTTATTGAAGTTGAGACTGTACACATGGCAAAAAGTACAAATTCTAATATTAGTGAGAACAGACTGAAAAAGACCATTTCAGAAGGCTGTACAGCATCCCATTTTAAAAGCTTTTAAGAATAGATTAGATAGCTTTCCATGTTGTTGTAGGCATGCTTATTCTGTAGTGGATAAATTAGATGAGCTTTTGGACTACCTCTAGCTGTTACATTTTGTGATTCTGTATTTACAGCCTGTTTGCTGCTGGGACAAGAATTTCTGTTTGTGACTAGTTTAGCAGTAAGTTTTCCTACTGCTTGACTTATAAGAACATCTTGAGTGGGATTAAGTTACCAAAACTTAGGTGACTTGCCTTTTGAGATGGTGTGAGCTGTCCTAGACATCTAAGCAAGCCTGGCAAGTGTTAACACAGGTCCTATTAAGCCTATAATGTCGGGGATGTGCAGGTGGAGACAAGGTGGTTGTGTAGTTTCTGGTACCATCTTAGATGTTCTGTATTTAGGTAACTGAATTTCAGCTTTTTATGAACTTCAGAGGTTCATGGTAGATCACTATATATATTTTTTAAAAGATTGATGAACAGTTCTCTTGGAGTTCTGTTTTTAGAGTCTGTTCATAATTATCAAATGAATTATCTGATTCTGCCATATATCTAACACACATTCTTGATATTGTTTCATGACAATTGGAAATATTTTTTGAGATGCTCTATATTAGTAGGATATACCAGATATTTGATGATGAACCAAATATTTACTCATTCAGTATAACTGTTAAAAAATCTTTGAAATCTTGTAATTATTGTATTATATGTAATTAAGTACATATAATAAGGATGTTAGGAATTTTTTTTGCTACCTGCTAAGGTGAAGTCCAGCTAAGGACTTTGACAGTAAGAGTCATCTTTTATACTGAGTTCAGCCTGTGAAAAGAGATGAAAGATGTGTTATATGATTAAAGAGCAAATGTATTCTTCTTGACAGTATTGGATAGGCTACCTAAGATGAGAAGGTCAGATTTACTTTCCTGCACTTTGCATGTCCTCTGTTCTTGGCTTTCTGAAGGCTATGCCATTTAACTGGATATTGAGCTGTAATTAGCTATTATTTTAATATTCTTTGCAAACTATGTCTTTCAAAAATACTCTTTAACTATATCATATTTGTCTTCTAGTAGCCCACAGATAAATCTAACAAACTTCTCAATCCCTGTACCAGTATTCCATGTTGCTGCTGTCTAGTCCTATCCTACTTTTATGCATTGTGGTCAGAGGAGAAATATTGGGAACTCTAGTAGTTAGTGAACTACTTTTCAGTGGGAAGAAATCCCATATCTGAGTTCATTTATGTTTACATGAGTTTTCTATTCTTCTGTAATTGCATGTATAATTTAATATAGAATTTGAGCCATTATCTGGGACACTGTGGGTAGTGCCTTTAGGGATGCATGAATAGGAATACTACTTTTCTTCAACCATATTGGTTTGCTCAGAGAGGGACATGTGGAAGTTCCCTCTATAAGGTATGCCCAGTCCTTTGAACGAGAGCACTTCTTGTCCTAGAAGTATCTGTGGTGTATCTCTTTGAGTACCTTGCATGTAGTAGCATATGAAGAGGGGTTGGAGCATGCTTCATCTCGGTTTCTCTCAGCTGTCCTGTGCATTGAGCGTGCTGTAGAAGCATGCATATTAATATTACATATTATATACTTGGTCTTACAGAAGACCCAGTCTTGCATCCTTTGGTCATTGTAGTGCCCATCCTTATTAGTGCCCTGTGTGGTATCAGGTGACTTACATGTTTCATGATGGCCCCCATCTCTTCTTCCTTTAGCTTAATTAGTATCACAAAATGTGAGACTTGCCTGGATGGAGGACTACATCTGCCCCAGTACCACCCCACCAGCTTTTGTTTGGAGCTGAATGTGGTGTCCACCTCAAGCACCCAAAAACCATGAAATCTTACAGAGCAGCTGATTTTTGGAAATTGAATGACTGCCTTGGTGGTCTTTTTGTCAGCTGAGGCAGACTTCAGTTTCTGTTATGGCTAATCAGGGCAACTAGTACATGAGAGAAGGGGAGCTAAACTGATCTTTTAAAGAGGTTCAGTATCCACAGGTGTGCTGTATCACTGTTGGCAGTAGTTCTTCAATTAATGCTTTTTAAAATGTTGGAATGATTTGATCAGTTGAACATAAAACTGTCCCCTGACTATTTGTGTTGTATCTCTGCTTGTCTGGGGAGCCTGCTCTGGTATTCTCAGAATTTGGGCTCTCTTTCCGAGTAAACCATTTTATGTATCAGTGTTACAGGATTATAGATGTTATCGACGTACTAGCACAGCTGTCTATGAAGCCATGCAGTGAAGTGAATTGGGAAATAGATCTAGTGAAAAAATAGCCCACTTTCAGCCCTGTGATCCCTAAATTGTTACACTGCATGGCCTACAAAGACAGCAGTGCCAACACAATAGAGAGGGTGGGTGGTTGGGACTAAGTGCGGAGACTAAACTAAAGCTGATGTTTTTCAGAATGGGCCAGTTTATCTCTGCTCTTAGTGTATGAATTTGAGGACTGATGTATGTTCATGAGTGTTACCTTCTTAGGAATGTTGGACAAAATCCTTTAAAGGGATTTTTTGTCTCAGCATTTCCATGATGAAGAGGTTCAGAGTTGCTTCAGTTTCTTTATTATGTTCTGTTGGTTAGTAGACCTTATGAAGACTTAATACAACGTCGCCACATTACTGTCACTGTCAGTAGTATAGGCATACGCCAAAAGGTCAGGTTACTTTTGCATTTTTGATAACACAAATATCTTTCCTCAAGCTGCAGAGTGGTCAGGTGGAAGTCTTTCCACAGCTCTGTCAAACAGTATGATAGCAGGAGCGTTAAGATAAGGTGTCCACGCTTAGTAGAAGGTGTAAGCTGGCAGAAGTGTTGGAAATTTCCCATGGTGTCAATATGCATCCGGATAAACACACAGAGGCAGAAGTTGTTTTTCAAAGATTGAAGGGTTTGTAAAATGTGCTGTTCATGTGTACTTTCAAAGAACACTTATTCCACCTGCTATACCTGTGAGTTTCTTTGGTGATTTTTCTTTGTGGTGCTCCTGTGGGAGGGTATGTGGGGGAATGTCCTGGAACTGAGAGCAACTGCAGTAGTAAGTTGCTGTGTCTAGAGATAACATGCACACAAGAAGCTTGGTGAACAAGAACTTCTTTCTGCAGATTAAAATAGTGATTGTTAGCAATTTGAAATAAGTAAATATTGGAGTAGATTTTATTAAGAAGGTGCCACTTTGTTGTTTGCAAGTAATGTGAAATGCTGCTTCAGTTAGTTTTGCACTTCAAAAGCAGCTACACATTCTAGTAGAGAAATCTTTCAGAGTGTGAACTTGCACCTGGTGATTCTTAGCTACCAGCTAGCACCTCTTTAAAAAAGAGCAGCCAATCAAAAAACCCCCACTGCATGTCTGTTCCATTTAAAAGGATTTTTTAGGTTCAGTCTACTCATCACTTTCTTGTCTTTAATCTTTCAGATAGTATTATCCATAAAAGAGACATAGTGAAAACACCCTTTGTCTCTATATTTACCTTCTTATGACTTCTTTTCTTGCACTGTGATGATAGATCAAAGCAGAATAATATATGCAGTCATTAGGGAGTTAAATAACTTGTGACATTCAGTAATTGCTTTGCATAAGCCTATAGGCTTAATTTATTTAACAGCAATGGTAACACCTTAAATAGTCTTTTGTTAATACACAGAAGCTTGCTTGACTAAAATAGTTTCATATTAATAATTTTTATCATCTGTCAAACCAACTGTGTTGTCCAAAAAGTGAATTCATTATTGGCTCGTTGCACACCAGGTAATCATACACTCAGGAGAGACATTATTTCATATTTGTGCAAAGATGGGTGCTAGGTGGTAATTCCACAACGCTAGCACACCCTGCAGTTAAGCAAGCAAGCAATTTATACAGTTTTAGATTCACCTACTTAGTTTCCAAAGTCCTTCCCCCAAGTCGTTATTGGTAGTTGCTTATCTGCCACCATTTCTACTGGGCTAAGGTTTTTTCTGCTTTGAGTTAGAAGTGCAGTGTTCTTTTATTCTACAGTGCATGCTCAAGGAGCATGTGGGGGGTAAGTTGTTTAGGTCTTTAATTGAGTCGGTGGTCACCATCTCCCCTGCTGCCTTTACTTTTCTCCTAGTTCATGTTTCTTTGGTAATCAGCCGGTGCCTTCTGGAGCAGGATGTTTCCTTTTGATCAGTCTTTAGTTCCTTTTTCAAGGGTATAGTTGGCAAAGCCTGCATCATTCATACAAAGTAAGGGGGCCTACAGAGTGAAACTATTGAGTAATGGTCCTCCTTAAAGGACAATGCATCGTGCTTAACCCTAAATTAAGCAGTATCACCACAGTTAGGCCATAACTCAGACATATGACTACAACTGCATTATTTATTCATTGTGGTTTTGAAAATATGATACACTGAATTTTGAAAAAACAATCATTGGTAAATAAAATTTTCAGAGCTATTCTGGAGTATTTCCTGCCTGCCCCCCAACTAATCCTATAAGCATTTTAAAAATTCCTTGATACAGTCTCCCACAGTTAGAGTACAGTAAAAGCTTTGTGTCTTTCAGGGGTGTGTGGGGTGGTAAGGAATGAGTGGTAAGATTAAGGAAATGTGTTTTGATTTCTGCCCTGCTGCTTTGAAATGTGCCTATACATTTTATGTGTTTGGTCCTTTAAAAGTATCTGCTTGACTCAGTTATCTTTGAAGATGGAGCGGGAGGTTTGTCCTATCACTGCAGTAATGAAGAATTCCTTTATTGTGTGTATTTGCACACTAAGCTTCAGCTATGATTTGCTGGTCTGTAGCAGATAAACCTCCTAGCCCTTTGTTTGCCCTTTGGCATGCTCTGTGCATTTAAGCACTTTGGTAGTGGGACATCAGTGAACAGTTTGCCCTTGTGGAGCACGTAGGCATCATGTATATATTGTGGATAGTGGAGGTATTTAAAAACAAATAGCAAAGCTGTCAGCAAATAGCAGTTAGTAGAGAGTGTTGTCAGTTACCTTTCAGATGTGATTGTAAGCGTTGCTTCTCAGCTCTGTTTTTAGCTAGTGTCTCGTTGCTCTGAAACAGAGAAGCAGCATGAGTATAGCCAGGCACTAGTCTTGTCTCAAACTAACATCAGATCTCAGTGGCTACAGCTCACACAGAATCAAGACTTAATAAACATAAAAAGAGTCTACAAACCTTTTAAGCATTAAAATATTTTAAGCTGTCCAGTCAGCAAGGTTGGTAAGTAAGAGAACAGTCATTCTGTACTGTGATAATATTTAGATAGGGGAATTAGGCAGCTAAAACTTCCCCTTTTCTATGCAACAAAATAGTGTTGAAAGACTACTGAACTGTTAACACACAGGCAAAAAACTGGTGGTTAGACTGAGGATGATGAAAAAAAACCTACTAAAAATGAATCCTACATTCCTTTGGAGCTGGCAGTGTAGAATGGGAGAAATAATTTTAGAACTGTATCACTTGTTAAGAATGGTATTTGTGTACTATCAAATGATTGTCTTGGCTAAGTGGTTATGAAAAGGAAGGAAGCATCTGCTTTAAATGTGGTGACTAATTGGTAGTCTTTTTTACTTTTGGTGGTCTTAATGTTCTTTCCCCTGCTTGTTGCAGGGGGATTGGAGTAGATGACCTTTAAAAGTCCGTTCCAACCCAAACTATTCTAGAATTCCTTCCTTAGCTGGTATATATTCTACTTTTGATAAAAATCATTAATACATTTCTTTTCAGTGTTCATTATAAACCTACTGAGAATGTTTTGCTGTTGATGTTGTTTTAAAAAGGATCTGTAGAATTGCAGATATAACTGAACAAGTCTCCCAGCTGTGCTTTCTTTTGAAAGCTGCATTTCACTGTGCTTTTTTTTAAACAAGATCATGTAATCATTGTGGTGTTAGTATTCATTTAATATTAGAGAATGTAGCAGAGTTGAGTAGTACTAATTTTCCATGGCTAGGCTTTAGAAAGTTATTAATAATTAATATTTCAAGTATGTATTTCAAGTTTGCATGTCGGGGAAAAAAACAATGATGAGCACTTTGAAGATCATAGGTGTTGAATTGCCTTGGCAGGAGAAGCAGAATTCCTCCAAGCTGTTTCAAAGTTAAGTGCTTGTTAACAGGTGCTTGTTAAAAGCAATGGAAGTGATATCCTAAAACTTCTGAGCTAGCACAGAGAAGAGCCTGTCAGAGCACCTTTGTATGCGCTCTGCCATCCAGCGGTGTAAAAGGAAACTGAACAGAAGTCACACTGATGATAATTACCTATTCTGATAATCAAACTTCCCAGAATAGATACCAGGTAAACGAAATGCATTCAAAAGTTACACTGCACAGGTTGAGGTGTTGGGAAGAAGGTATGAAGTGTAAAAACTCTCAGGAAATTATGAAGGGCAGTCAAGTTGTTTTTCCTGAGTTTCCTTTCCAATCTCCCAGCTACTGTTGGTTGCAGAGAATGAGAGTTACCATGGTGCATATGATTGCAATAAAATAAAATCTTTTGTTCTCCTTTACCAGTGAAGAGAGATTTAATTTAAAGGAAAGTTTCAGGGAGGAACAACTTAATTTGGGGCCCTAAATATTTCACAGATCTCGTGAGAAGTTGACCAAATATTTCTCTTTAATTGGTTTATTTAGGTACTGCTATATTTTTATCTTCTACCTCTGATAATTTTTTTGTTGACTAGGAGGGATGGTAAACAGATAAAATGGTTATGCTGTGGGGAGTTGAAAACAAGTGAGAGATTGAATTTAATTATGCTTTTAACAATCTGTTTCTAATTTTGTTTCCTCTAGCTTTTTAGATGTTTTAATTAAAGTCAGGAACAGACACAATGATGTGGTTCCAACCATGGCGCAAGGGGTGATTGAATACAAGGAAAAATATGGCTTTGATCCATTTGTTAGCAGTAACATCCAGTATTTTCTAGATAGATTCTACACCAACCGCATCTCTTTCCGTATGCTTATTAACCAACACAGTAAGTAATTGCTTTTTTTCATTGTCAAGAACTCATTAGTTATTGCTTGTAAACCTGAAGCCATAGCTTTGCTTTCGTTTTTTTTTTCATACTCATGACTAATTCTTAATATTCTGTCCTAATTACAGTAAAGGATATACTGGCAACTGGTTGATTTGGTACTTTGCAGTTATCAGAAATGAATCCAAAACACCAGTATGCTTTCTTTTAGAATTGTCAGGCTTTGTCAGTGTGGCTGTCGCTTTTTAATCTTGTTGGCAGAGGCAGCTTGCATAGTGATACATGAAGTATTTTTAGATAGTAGTAGAGTAGTTGTGTCTTTCTGCTCACAAATCTCAACATTGTTTGTAGTGCTGACATTTATTTCATAATGAAATGCAAGGATGCCATAAATTTTGAGTAGGTTATGCACTATCTGTATTTTTATTGTTTTTTTCAGCAAGTTATCTAGACTTTCTTGCCTTCTGAAGAGGTTGAGTATTTCTAACTTAAGTTTTAAATTATATCCCTTATGTCCCTCTACTTCCTATTCCCTATTTATGAATAAATGTTAGAATTAGTCATCCTTTGTAATTAGGTTCTGTTTCATTTGTTTTTACTAACAAACTTACTTTTTTATATTCATATTACAGAGTGAAAGGAGTTACTTGCACAGCTCCTATTAACCCGTATGTGCAACTATGCAGAAAGTGATCTGTATAAAGTTACGGACAGTCTTGTGGTCTCTTGTAGTGTATCTTGTGCCTTTTAGCTCTAGAGCTTCATTCTCTGCCCAGTATTCTGCTTTTTATGAGCTCTTAGAATTTGTGGTACGCTACAGATAATGCAGATGCTAGAGTACTGTATTGTAAGGTATTTTACTACAAGTTGTGTGTCTTTCCAGTAACCTTTTATGTGACTAACAAATGCCTTGTGTGTGTACAAATAACTTTAATGTAGCAAAGCATACAAAATGAGATAAATGTGTAGCTTATTCTTTACTTGCACCTGGGTAGGCAAATGACAGATGTAAAACCGAGTTAAGTTAAAAGGCTCTCACGAAATACTTCTAGCAACAAGTAAAAATGTTGTCCTAATAGAGTTCTTGGGCTGAGAGCTGGCATAATTTGCAGTAGTTCTGAAATATTAAACTTATTTCATTGAACTGAAATGGCTTTTCCTATGGACACTCTTACTGAACTGGTTGAAACTTAAAACTGCTTATAGATGCTTAAAGTTTAGTTAACCTTGTGCAATTTCGCTATGTGAAGCAATGTTAATGATCCATCCATGATGGCAAATACTAATCTTGAAGCACTGATGAAAAAGACAATTGGAAAGCAGAATGCAGAAACAGGGTTTTATGTAGGTTGCATTTCTGTTTGGTATGTTATTGACAGACTGTTTCTTACAATGCAGTTCTGCAAGGTGCAGTCTGCCAGTGTATTAGCTCACCATGACTGGAATAGGAAAAGCTTTCAGATCTTGTCTTTTGCTCACCTCATACTGCATCTGTTTCATATTAGAGCTGACTAACTTGCTAAAATAGCAGAAAATCACTTCTGCAAAAAAAGTGTAAAACCTTTCTACTTCTTTGAGAGCTAAACTCTTGGTGAAGGATCTGGTGAGTGCCAGACCCTTGTGCAAAGGAGGGAGTGGGGAGCATACTGCTGAGAGTCAGGGAGAAAGGAGAATGAGACCTCTGTGCCAGCTGTGAAATTGCAGCTTAGGTGAGTGTAAAAGGCGTGCTTAATGCTGTCTTACAGTTCCTCAGTCCTTTTTACTATAACATTTTCACTGTTGCGAGTGCTTCTGTTCTGACATAATGCTATGAATGAAGCATTTTACATTTTAGTTTTATCTAATTTTTGATAGTCCACTTTGAAATGTAGGTTTTCACCTTAATCCTCCCACATCACTATTTCTGTTTTAACTAGCCTTAGCTATAAAAAATGAAAAAGGAAAAAAAAAAAAAAAAAAAAAAAAGAGAAGGGAGGCAAGTAGTCTTCCTAAACAAGGATTCTGGCAATTTGCTAGAGTATCTTTTTACTAAATGATGCACTAGCCAGTAAGTTTCAAATACCATCAAATTTAAACTTTCTAGGCTGCTTCAAGTGTAATAGATAATTTACTGCCATTTCTTTTTCCTTTCAGCACTTCTTTTTGGTGGAGATATTAATCCTGCTCATCCCAAACATATTGGAAGTATCGATCCTAACTGTAACGTGGCAGAGGTGGTTAAAGGTAAGATGAAGTTAATATTTTTGTTGATTTTAAAAAAACCACACAACTTAGAATACGCATAAATATGTTATTGAGATACAAGAGACTGAAGGTGATTTTAATTCATTTAATAAAGAAGAAATGGGAGTTCTGCAGTTGCTCACAATAAAGCCAATAAAGTCTCTTATTGACACTTTCTAATGTCTCCATTATTAAGAATGGAGAAACTTTTGGTATGTTAACAGAACTAAGAAAACAATTGAATTTTTTCTTAACTTTAATCTGTCCTTTTAAAATCAGATTAAGTATCTAAATGTTTTGTTAAACTTTAGATGTTTTCTTCCCTAAAATACTAGAAGCAGGTTCTCATGTACTGCTTTTTTTTATCTGATGCTGGTCCTAAAGAAAAATGAGAGTAAGCGAAATTTTCTGATTTGTTTAGTTAGGCCTTTCGGTAAAATGTGCTCAGTAGTACAGACGTTCCAGTGAAACTCCCCATTACTACGTGCATCTGACCGTATCACAGCCTGTTCTCTCTTACACAGAAGGTGTGTATGTGATGGTTGTACCTGAATGACCTGGCACGGTCGCATTAGAAATCCTGTTTGCTTAATGTTTGGAATGTTCATATGCTTTCAGAATGTTAGTAAGTAGGCATGAGGCTATGCTGTCTGCTTAAGAACTTGTTTATTGAAGATTCATGCTCTGGGTGTATGTATTTACAAATACAGGTCTTGATGTAGGAGTGAAATCCACACTCTGTCCTTCACTGCTGTTTGTGCAGCTGTAAGAGGGAAAGAATATGTTTCTCCCCTTCACTTTCTATCAGCCTTCTGTGAAGTAAGAGGGAAACCTTTCTCATGTCAGACTTTGACCTGCATGAGAGCTTGCTTTGTAATGTAGATGCTTTTTACTGTTATGAAGGCTTCTTGGCTTCTAGTTATTTTTGGCTCTAAGGTGGCCTCTTTTCAGCAGCTTTTTCTTTTGACTGATCTTATTCCCCTTTGACCTTAGCATTGTATATGTTAGTTGTGTTGTTTATTTAGATATTCCTTCCAATAGCAACGTTTGAATCTATTTTGATCATCAAATTCATAGTTGCTGCTTTGGACAGAGGAGTACATAGTGTCAGAAGGTGCTCAGTCCAGTTTTCAAGCCAGTAGCTAAAGAAGAAATATCTGAAATACCTGAAGAAATAATCACTAACAAGCGGAGGGCATTGTAAACAGTATCCAGTCTTGTCTTTCAAAGAAACAAAATGTCCTTAAAGACAGATGCTGTCTGAAGTCAAGGTGATTGAGGCCACTTCCTTGTAGAATTAGTAGAGGGATTAATTTACATTCTGTATCCTGTGCTAGCTCCAAAATATTCTGGTTCACAGGCAGCATTCTGAGCAATTTGTCAAAGCTGAGATGTTGATTTTGGCACTGTATGTGGCAGCTACAAGCTCTGTATGCCCTTCCAACATTGAAGAAGTGATTTAAACAACCACTTCTTACTTCAAGCAGCTCCACCAAGTATTGTGTCTGTAACTGGCTGAGGTGGGGGTCTGTATCTCACTGACTGTCCTATAATAAGATTTTTGAGTTGACAGCAAATCCAAGCTTGTTCCTGGAGCTGGGATTTTAGATGTACTGATAGATCCCAGCCACGACATGAAGCATGCTTTGACCTTTGAAGTCTCTTTTACAGTCTTAAGACTCTGCCAAAGAGATGGCTTTTAGAGGAGGGTAAAATGTAAGACTGCACTCAGACCCTCACATGGTTTTGCTAGGGGCTGGATATTTCACTGGATCGTGAAGTGATAGTGCCTTCCGTTCATCTGAAGGGTGGTAAGGTATCTACTTCTTAAAAATGGATGAGAGTTCTACATTAAATTTAGGGAGGCTAAATGGATTTATTCGGAGCTTCTTTGTTCTCTCAAGGTTTGTATAGTGGCTGTGTCTGCTCCACATCCGTGTATTGAGAGGGCTTTTGGTTTATTCCCACACAGTTATTGATTTGCTTTTTAGAGGCCTTGAAGTTTTTCTCCGCAATAAGAATCCAACTCCTGCCCCCTGGATCCATATCTAATTTTCACTTTGATGTGGAAACAGTGAAGTATGATAACGTATTCCTTTCTCCATGTAGATGGCCTTATAGTCATAGTAGCTATATTGCTATCTTCAGCTTTTGATGGCTGAGTCAAGATTGTGGCTGTGCTTCTTATGCCCCTTTTTTCTAAAGCACAGGATTACTCCCAAGGCCATCAGAAGTTCTGAGATGATTTTAGAATATCGTGTAAGTGTAGGTATCCTGCATCTTTTTTTCCTAAATTATGTATATCCCAGGCTGAGGTTCTCTGTACAGCTTGGATATTAAATGGGATTTTGATCTTTTTACTAGGACACCTTTTATTGTGTTAATGACAGGACCCTTTTAGAAAGTCTTTGGAGCTGACCGTCTTGACATAAGATTCTTACTGGATAGCTGATTCTCTGAGATGTTCCTGGGACTTGATCAAGAACACTTCCAGTGTTGATTAGCTCCATTTTACTAGACCTCAAGTACCATTTGTGTCAGCCTTGTGTGATATGTCTAGCCTTGTGGATGTTGAACAACTGATAAAAACTTTTTTCAGATAACAGAGCACGTTATTTCTGTAGACATCTTGAAGGAGGACAATTACAGGTAACTAGCCCTTTCTGAGGACTAGTGATTTTACTTTTTGTGCTTGTCACGTAGCTCTGAGTCTTGGCAGCGACTGTTTTCTTTTGTAGTGTCACTTTGGACAGGAGGAAGAAGGTATGTGCAGGGTGAGGTCAAATGCAATTGTTATGATATCTTAGCAAATTGCTCTCTGTCTGCAGAACTGCCCATCTGTTTATGTGCTTGCTTTTAGCCCACACTTATTACAAGGAAGCCACTTTTGTTAAGGTACCTTAAGCAATGTAGTTAGAACATCTTTGAGTTTGTGGTTTCTCTTTAAGCTAACACTTACTGCTTGTTTCTAAAATATTTTTGCAAGTGAGGTACCAGTGAATATTTAGAACCACGAAGAAATCTTTCAAACACAAGATGACTTAAACTTTCTTGCTGTATTTTGACAGTGCATAAAGCCTGATTTGGATTATGGGGAGGCTTTTTTTTCATTCAGTGAGAAAGAATGAAGAATCTTAAAGATTCCAGCTTTGCCCCTGAAAGACCTTGAAAATCAAATATTGTAAACAGTATTGTGTTTGGGAAAACTTAATTTATGGTTGCACTGTCATCCTTTTTTGACATCGAAAGAACAAGCATTAAATTGTGATCAAGACTTGACAAATAAGTAGATATTATGGTCAGCCTAAGATTATATCCTTCTGGTTTTCAAGCCCTGAATAAAGATGAAAAATAGCTTTGTCTCTAGTAATCCGCTTTTGTTTGTAGAGCTTCAAATAGAATTTGCCCTTTCTTGACAAATAGGCTATGAGCACACAGAGAAAAGGGAATTAGAATGGATACCAGTTTCACACTTGTAAACTAGTTATGAAAATGAGTGTTCTGCTTGTAGTCTTTCACATACAGGGTGAACTTTGCTAGTCGTCTCTAGATGATTTTGATAAATCCCTGTTCTGCTCTGTTGTTTTGTAGATGCCTATGAAACAGCTAAGATGTTATGTGAACAGTACTATCTGGTGGCACCGGATCTGGAAGTTGAAGAATTCAATGGTAATTGTGAAATTAATTTAAGTGATGTATGTAAGAAAGCATTTCTAATATCTGTGACTTCTAGTTTTGTTAATTATTTGTAAGTTATAATTTGAGCTCTGCAGTTCTGTATGCAGAGTTACTTTTCTTCTTCTGATGTAGACAGACATGGGCGCATGAATGAGAGTTTATCATCATGACCTCTTTGCTTCTTGATGCTGAATGCAGAGTGCTATCTGCTGAATTTGCTATCACTTTAGGAAAATAAAGTGGTCAAAAACCCTTATAACTGGGAAGGAGACACACCTGCCTTCTAATCTTTTAATAGAGCTGAAATTTGTTTCATTTTGAAGTATGCTTATAAATTCCACTGTCAGTCTCTGCACCAGTGGTGAGCTCTTCTGTGTAAGATGGTGAAATTAGGAATTTTTTTTCATAGTCTTGCTTTAAGTCCTACGATAACTTCTCACACGAAAATCTGTTTCAAGTTGATTGCAAAGATGAAAATTGGATGCTACAAAACCGACGAGAGAGTCCTTGTTAGTGTATTGACTGATTTTTTTTTCATAATTTCTACTGAAAAAAGGTAGATTATTTTAAGTTAAAAATATAAATTTTCTTGAGTGATCCTCTCAAACTTTGGACAGCTGTCCAAACATAAGACTAAGATGTTTGAAAACTTCAGCAGAAGAATTGCAAAAGTCTCAGAGTAGGTAACACTCAAAATGGAGAGTGTGATATAGGGGAACATATAAGTTGCTCAAAGTACTATTTAATATTGTAGAAATACTTCTCTACACAAAGTGATCTTGTCAACACTGATGCATTACTACCAGCCCCCCCTCCGAAAACCAAAGGACCCAACCTTCCCCCCTCCAAAATGGAGTGATTTTTGGAGCTAAAAGTACTGAGTACTGCAGCAGAGGAATCAATGCAAAATCAATTTGAAGGCCTAAGTAAAAAGATCCAACAGTAGAGAAAACAAATTGCTGGATCTGATAAAAAAAGTGAGGGGAGAATTACTAGTTTCCTTTAAACTAGCTTATTAACATGAGGAAAGTGAATTTGCAAATTACCTCACAAAAGCAACAGTAACATGTTTTCTATGTGTACTCTATGCCTCAAATGAGTACAAATCAGCTGCCTTGGTTTTGGTGATGTGTAAGAATTGGAGGATGGACTCTGACAAAATTAACATAATAAAACAGCAAGTTGCCTTGCAACTAATTATGCAGAGCATTGTCTTGGTCTTCTCCTTTTCCTAGGAGTTTTCACTCCTGTGTCTCTTAAAGTAGTAACTGGTATTATCAGCCCTCAGTGCCAAAAAGGATGAAGTTGACTCTAGTGATGTTCTGTGTGCATGTTTGTATCTTCCTGCGATTTATGAAGCAGACATTTAGAGACTTTTCTTCAATCTGAACTGCTGCTGGGTCTGACAGGCTGTGACTGTATAATTTAATGCCAGTAGATATTTGAATGTTCAGGGGTGACTGCATCTTCAGCACCAAAACTGTCTTGGAATGTATTAAGTGCAGCTGTATTTTCCTGCAATATCAATTGGCACTCTAACGTTCTGAGCTGTGCCAAGCTGTACACCTCTGCCGAAACACTAAAACCAGGACAACAGTGAACAAACAATTCAGTTATGATTTGGAATAAGAAAACTGTGATATTGTTTGAAGTATATTTTGAAAGTTTTTATGAATAGTTTACATTTTATAGGTTTTAATTAAGGTAAAATGTAGTTGTTTTTAGAATATTTAAACAGTGAATTTCTTAAATTAAAGAATCTTGTTGTGCAGCAAATATTATGCTTAAATATTGTCCCACTTAAGTGGGAAAGTTCTCTTAGTTAACATACATTGTCAGTATGAAACCAACCACTGCTTAGTGAAGTTTCATATCTAAACAAAGTCTGCTGACATAGATGTCTGAAAATCATCATTAGAATGTTCTACTTCAGGTGATAGCAGTAACTGAAATTTATGTTTTTACTTCATGGAACTAATCTTGCACTTGCAAAATTAGAACATGCTTACATGCTTGTCTTTGCCTACAGTTTCATGTTATTCCTGTCAATAGAAATGCTACAAAATGCTGTTTTGAAAAAATATTTGTCTTTTTTATTTTTATTTTTTCAGCTAAAGCTCCAAACAAGCCTATTCAAGTAGTCTATGTACCTTCTCATTTGTTTCATATGTTATTTGAATTATTCAAGGTGGGTTGCACTTGTTAATATTTGGAAGGGTTTTGTGAACTTACATTAGTGTTGAAATTGAGATTCTTTTCAGTTACAGCTCTTAAATGTTATTTCAGTTTTCCTTTCTTAAGCTTATTCTTAAACAAGGGTTTGAAACTGTTAAAAGCTAGGCTTACAGCCCTCTCAAGCCCTTGTGTACTTAAAAAAATGTCTGTGTTTTCCTACTTCTCTTTTTGTGCTTTTGCAGCTGGTGAACTTAAAACACTCATGATAGTCTATTTTTGCAATGATGATATATTAATTACCTTGCAGTTTTCATAAGCTTGCTTCGTTATTGCATATTTGAGGATTGGTTAGGATCAGTGTCTTTTGTTTATTGTGAAAACAGCCCATAGGTTTTTGAGTAGCATAAATGACATGCTTTGTTTTGTTTTTATTTGTGTCTTCTGAATAACTGAAACAAAAGTGAAAATGAAAGTGAGAGCTATTGTATGTGTTTGAGTAAGATAGGTGGTCTCTAGGTGGTGCAATTGAACACTAGAAATTCAGGGGAAGAAAGCATTTGGTCAGAGAGAAACTTTTCCAAAATAATGGTATTTGGGTTTGATTTGTGACACTTGTCAAGTACATTCATTTAAATCTTCCCCCAATTTTGCCATTTGTAACATTAATTCTAGGGTAGAACAAGCGAGAATTTGTATGCTACTTGTAGGTATGTTTTGGTACAAGTCATGAAACGGTATGAAACTACTAAGTTATATCTTAAGTAATGAACCTGTGACGGACTGGCAGTGGAAACTCTGTTAATAGATATAGTAAAGTCAGATTGATAGATGGTAACTTAACAACTATGTGACCCAGGCTGAGAGAATCAAAGCTTGTTCTCTGTGGCGAACATAGCTATTGCTGTTCTGCAAAGTGGAGGTTAAGGATATTGTCATCCCTTATATATAATTACATGATTTCACACAGGAAAAAAAAAAATCTTGCTTTATGTTCTCTGACTCTATAACAAGTAGATAGAAGTATGTATAATGGAGTTCTGATGAAAAAGTTTAGCTGGACAGTTCATGGACTTGAAAGCACTTCTTGCATTTGTTTTAAATATGGCCTTTTCTGTCTTGTATAGAAATGTAGCACAGAGTATCCAGATTCAACAACATAAATGCAAGTTCTAAGTTGTCACAAAAAGCCTATATGGTAAAGTTAGAATCAAAGACACTGTTTTTTCCTTTATCTTCAGAATTCAATGAGAGCTACGGTGGAATTGCATGAAGGTAAGAGAGAAGGCTATCCATCGATCAAAACCTTAGTCACTTTGGGGAAAGAAGATCTGTCTATTAAGGTAAATGCCTGAAAATAATATGCAGCTTACAACCCTGCTAGGTTTAGAATAGTATGACTTGTAATTTGAAAAGACAAATTACTGTATCACTTCTGACACTTCAAATTCATTAGAATAGAATATTTTCAGTTGGAAGGGACCTACAGTGATCATCTAGTCCAACTGCCTGACCACTTCAGGGCTGACCAAAAGTTAAAGCATGTTGTTAAGGGCACTGTCCAAATGCTTCTTAAACACTGACAGGCTTGGGGTGCTGACCACATCTCCAGGAGGCCTGTTCCAGTGTTTGACCACCCTCTCGGTAAAGAAATGCTTCCTCATGTCCAGTCTGAACCTCCCCTGGCGCAGCTTTGAACTGTTCCCTCGCATCCTATCACTGGATCCCAGGGAGAAGAGCTCAGCACCTCTGTCTCCACATCCCCTCCTCAGGAAGCTGTAGAGAGCCATGAGGTCAACCCTCAGCCTCCTTTTTTCCAAACTAAACAAACCCAAAGCCCTTGGCTGCTCCTTTAACGTTTCTAAAGTTGTTTAGGTAATGCTGCTTGAGTTTTGCAGGGTTTTTTTTCCAGAACATAATGTTTAAAACTCTTAACTTTTCATTCCTTAGATAAGTGATCAAGGTGGAGGTGTACCTTTAAGAAAAATAGACAGATTGTTTAACTACATGTACTCAACAGCACCCAGGCCTAGCTTGGAGCCCTCAAGAGCTGTGCCTTTGGTAAGCGATTGCAATATGTATTTAAATGTCCCTTTGCACTACTCTGGTTATGCGCTTCCCTTCACTGCAATCTACTGGATCAGGTTTTCCACTGAAGAATTGTTTATCATTAGCAACTCTATGCAGGTGAAACATGTCAGGAAAAAATGGGTTCTGTTATCATCATTTAGTCTTTGGAATAGAAAATTGCTTTTCTTTGTCTTGACATTATATTCTTAGAAACAACCATTTCTGCATAAGTGCAATATTTTCATGGGTTAATGGACAGGATTTTTAGTGCTGTATTACTGAGAAGGTGGATAACCTAAAGAGCTCCTCTTTGATGTGTAAATTGCTGTTTACCTAAGTTTCCTATAATAAATGTAAAGGTGAGCCATGCTGTCAGAATTACAGAACTTGAGAAGCACCTCCTGGTAATGCACAAGCTTATACTGAACTTTGAAAATTATTTTTATATAGGTTATGGACTGTAAAAACATTTAAAAAAATAAATTCCCAAACCTCCATGTCATAGGAACACTTTGGGTATGTTCCTGTTCAGTTGGAAATCTCTCATGTGATACTCCCTTCTGAGATATATCGGGGTCAGATTTCAAACAAACAAAATTTCCCCATAGTTTCTTCTAAGCAGGGAATTATTTCAGTGTTGAATTCTTTTAGCAAGCATGATTTTAAAAATTATTATTAAAATGAAATTATTATTTTTAATTTCATTAAGTTACATATTGGCTCATTGTGATAAAAATTATATGGCTACTGTTCCATTTGACTGGCTTTCAATAAGTGGATTAATACTGATGCTGTATTCTTGCCTCTTCCATCTTTGTTCTCTATTGCTTCTGATGCAACCCTTTATCTTCAACCATGTCGAGAAAAAGTTGATTCTTTGAGAAATTTCCTTCCCTTATTTAGGAACGCTCATCTAGCATGTTCTTAAGGGATTTTTTTTTTTTCCTGCTGATACTTCTGTGCTTGAAGTGCCTTCAGGCAGCTAATAAAATGTGGCACGGAGTATGTGACTATTTTTGGTATAAAATAATTAACAGTGAACTGAGGGTGAAACCAGTTCAGAGTGGTTCAGAGATAATAAATTTCATTTTAGATTTTTAGCAGAAAGTCTTTATGGTACTGTCTTAGTCCACAGTTCATAACAACGTGGCACGTAAGTGTATTGCATTGTTTTCTCCACTGTTTGATGCCACCGTGGTAGGTGTGAAACCCAGTTCCATATCTGCATTGACTTGATAGTAATCCTTCACAGCTCCTACCTCTACAACACATCTTAGTAATATGTTTCAAACTTTTGCTTTTCCATAGAAAATCTTCTTGAATGGGATGAGTGATGGGGAACAGGCCTTAATTCAAATATAAACTTTTTTCTTTGTCAAGAATGGTAGACTCTTTCTTGATTCATAATCTGCCTTTGTTCTGTCTCACTTTTGATCAGCAATTTACTGTATCAGCCTACAAGGATTTCCTGAAACTTGTTCCCACTATAAACTTATACCTTGATTACCAGTTGTATTCACTATTAAAATGTCTCTTCCTTTGTGGCTCTCTGATTGTAAAATGTGTTCATCTTAGGATTGATGCTATTTTTTCTCCATGTATCTTTAGCAATGTATTCCTATGTATATTTCCTTGTCTTAAGGCTGCTTACTTTGATACTTTGATTCTGTGGCATTTATACTTGGTATTCGTCTACTGTATTCCATTTTCAGGACTTGTTTTTCTCTTTGGTCTGTACATCACTGTAGTCAGACCTGCAAAGTATCCCCCTCTCTTGTGAACCTGGCAGCTTTTGCCCTGTGATGCCTGTACATGACAATGTTGAGAAGAGTTGTTAAGCTCCATTACTTATATGTGTGTGCAGAAAGAAACAAGTCAAGAACTGGGAGTCTGTGGCATATCTTTCCAGTAAGAAGAAAAAGGACTTAGCAGTGAAGCTTGACACGTTCTGTATTATGGCCCATATTCTGTTACAAAAACAATTATGCTATACTTTGTCAGTCTAGAAACAAAAATCCTTCAGCGGTAAGGTTCCTCATAAATCCTCTTCAAAGTCCATACAGAAGGAGATTTTCTTTATTGTGTACTGCTGAAGACCAAACCACTTAAGAATTGCTCCAGAAGGTAGGTAGGTCTGTCTGTGCTTGTCATTCTTGACCTAGATAATATTCTAAACTAAATTGCAGTGCAGTGTAAATAGACATATTCTTCTGTTCTAACACTCCCTCCCCTTGTTATATGATCCCCTGTCTAGTTTATGAAATATTCATGGCCTTTGGGAGGGGAAGAGAGGGATCTTTTTGTTGATTGGTGAAATTCCTTCTCAGTGTCATTGCAAATGTTGTTTAAAAACTGCTGAGAAACCTTGTTACCATGGCAGCATTCAGATTTTAGCAGGTCTTGTGTGCATCTGTACCGCTATACACATAGCGGAAATGTTAGAAACACATGGTGATGTTTAATGATAATTAGGTTTTCTCAGAGAATGTAATGATTCTCTCTGGCAGCATTTGTTTATCATGGGAGAAATGTGGCTTAAATCAGGTTTAATTAAACCTGTAGATACTAGTAACACAAATTTAATAATTTCCTATCTGTATAATGCATACTGTAATATTTAATGAGAAATTGGCTTTAAAAAGCTTTTCCTCTTCACGGCAGATGTGCCACCATTGACTATATTTTGTCCTCTAGGTCAAGCACAGACCTATGTAGAAATCACTTCTTGTTAATTGTCTTTTGCAAAATAAACCTTTTGTAAGGTCTTGCATTAACAAGGTACTCATCTGGGATCTGTTGTCTTCATATTTCTTATAAGTTATCTGTTTTGGAAAATACTCTAGAGACAATGTAGAGAAGAGACTGACAGGAAATTTTTGGAAGAAGAGAGTATGAAATAATTATGTGGGCTAGCACAGAGCATAAAAATATTTTCCTGGAAGGAGCAGGAGGCAAACACAAGATGGGCATGGGTTTTAAGGAGGTTTAATTCTGGAGAGAGGGAAGTATAATGTGCTTCCAGGATTGCTTGATACTGCCCTTTACTTGAGCTGTTCATGGGAGTATGTACTATCTACAATTTGCCTTTCGGTTGCTGTGCTTTTTAATTTCTGTAATGTATTTATTGTCTGGTCCTCAGAACATATGCAAGTCAGCTTTTGGAATTTTTTTTAGTTCTTTCTAAGACAGTCAAATAACTTCCTGTTTTTTAGAGGTTAAGAAAGAAATGCATCTAGTTTCAAGACCAGATGTTTGAAAGTGATGCATGTGTCTAATGGGAGTCTTTGAGAATTACGTTTTGTCGTGGTTTACCCCCAGCCAGCAACTAAGCACCACGCAGCCGCTCACTCACTCCCCCCCCATCCAGTGGGATGGGGGAGAAAATCAGGAAAAGAAGTAAAACTCCTGGGTTGAGATAAGAACGATTTAATAGAACAGAAAAGAAGAGACTAATAATGATAATGATAACACTAATAAAATGACAACAGTAGTAATAAAAGGATTGAAATGTACAAATGATGCGCAGGGCAATTGCTCACCCCCCGCCGACCGACCCCCAGCCAGTCCCCGAGCGGCGAATCCCTGCCCCCCCACTTCCCAGTTCCTAAACTAGATGGGACGTCCCATGGTATGGAATACACTGTTGGCCAGTTTGGGTCAGGTGCCCTGGCTGGGCATGAGAAGCTGAAAAATCCTTGACTCTAGTCTAAACACTACTGAGCAACAACTGAAAACTTCAGTGTTATCAACATTCTTCACATACTGAACTCAAAACATAGCACTGTACCAGCTACTAGGAAGACAGTTAACTACATCCCAGCTGAAACCAGGACACGTTTTTAAAGCATACTGTTGTTGGAAAAAGTGCAGCTAAGCAACTGTTTTAACTGTGGAAATGGACACTAGTAACTATGACAAGCAGTGCAAGTAGCAAATGGCATCTTTGACATTTCTGTTTCTCATTTTGCTCAGAAGAACTGAGTGAGCACCTCTAACCAATTTAAGATCACTAAATTTAGGCTTCTGCAAAAAAAAGGCAAAGAGGTCAAAAGATACTGTACAGATAGTAGATGACAACAAGACAATTTGTGATGGATACTGTAGTACAAAGTTCTTCAATGTTCACCCCTTCCTCAAGGGATTTCCTATACAGTGATAGCCCACATTTAGCTGTGTGTAATGCTTGCAAGTCCTTCTTCTTAGCCTTTTCTTTTTTGTATCATTCTGGGGCTTTGTTTTTAAGATTCAGGGCATGATTCTGTTATCTGTCAGATCGTGTTTGTAGAAATATTATAGTGGAATGAATTTATTGGTTTTCTGAAAACTTCAGGTGTCTAACTCTTGTAAGCCACCCTTACGGAAAACTTGTATTACTCCATTGCCTTGTATATCCTTCTTTGCAAATGCTTGTATGTCTGGAATCCTTCCTTTATTGCTCTGGGTAGCCCTGGAAAATTCAGGGTGAGTTCGGGTGACTAATCAACCACTGTGATTCTCAGCACATACCCAGCCATCTGAAAGAGTTGATGTTTAGACCAAAATCTTACTCGTTGGCTGGAGTGAGAGAGGCTCAGGTTTTTTTACAGCTGCTTCTGACAAGAGTGGGTTGGAAAAGGTGCCAGGTGTTGACCTTGTTGCAGCTGTGGTTATGAATATTAGTGTTGTAAATTTAAAATCTAAAATTTGTACCTGTCAGTTCTATTATGCTTTGAAAATTGTGTGGTCTGTATGGGGTCTCAGTCCTCAGTAGATCATTCAGTGCTGTGGAATCCTGATCTTTTGTTAGGTGGGTGAACAGCAGCGAGGATTATTTGCCTTGTATTGCTTTGTATGTAGTCTTCTGATTTCCATTGCCGTTTGGCATCAGAAATCACTTAATGCGACCTAGATGAAGTAAACAGTTGTCTCTGGCTTCGTTGTGTAGTCTCCTAAGTGTGGAGACATTTGGGAATAATAATCCCAGGCTTGGGGTAGAAAAATATGCTGCCAAAAATTTTATTTTTACCAAAGAATGGAATATCATAGGAATGGTAATCATAGTGAGGAAGCAGTAGAGAGTATTGGTTTGCTTTGATGATTGGAGGCAGCACGTACTGTATGTTACACCTACCTGCCTCTTGAGAAAATGCAAAATGGACAAGGTGGTCCTAACAAAGGCCTCTGATATTTTTTCCTTTTCTGTACTTAAACTAAAAAATTATGCCAAGGAAAAAAGGAGATTACTCAAAAGGCTGAATACCAACTTATAGTGTAGGCTGAGTAATAAAAGAAAGCTTGAAAAGTAATTTGATGCAAATCTGATATTTGGGTATCTTCTGTTTTATAAACGATTGCAGTGATCTGTTGCATTTTCTTAACTTTCCATCATGTTTTTCCTTTTGTTTTCTTGTCTTTGTAGGCTGGGTTTGGCTATGGCTTGCCAATTTCTCGTCTGTACGCTAGGTACTTTCAAGGTGACCTTAAACTCTACTCAATGGAAGGCGTTGGTTCAGATGCTGTAATTTATTTGAAGGTATGAATTTGACCCTTTTACAAGCTAGTAAAGCAGTGCAATTTGTTTATAGCAGGCTGAATAAGTGAACTTTCTCTTCACTCTTCCACTTGTTTTCAAATTTGTAATTGCTATCTTCATTATATTTTATCTAAATCAGTTACACAGAATCCTAAAAACCGAGTTAATAAATATTATCCCAGTACTAATACTGGTTAGTTTGGTTTGATTCCTGCCCCCCCCCCAGTCCCCCTTGTTGGATCTTTGCATTTTGTTAATTTGTCATAAGTGCTGAACTTCCAAAGAACTGTGTGATGAGAGATGATTTTGGTTAATACTCTGATTCTAAAAGTTTTGACCACAGTAAAACTGAGAAGACTATTGACTAACTCCTGACTAGTACCTGGGTTTTTTCTATGCGGTTCTTGACTTTTGTGTAATAGACTGTATTGATCCTGTTGTCATTTTTGGGGGAGATCCCAGGCTACTCAGGGGCTTAAGGTTGAAACTAACTGCTTGAACTTCATCAGGGATTTTAAAAGAATACAGCATATAGCTCATGTGCAGGTCGTTGACTAAGTGTTGTCACTGTGCCTAGCTGTATGTAGCAAGTGAGTTGTGGAATCCTCTGCTAACTTTAGTTTCTGATGGATTTAATTCTGTGCATGTATGTGTGGAGGAAAAAGGTGTGATCTTTCTCAGAGGAAAAAGGCATACTAAGGGACTTAACTAGATCAGTCCTCACAAATCAGTGTGCTGACAGAGTCAGAGTTTGGTGAAGAAGTGAAACGTTTACTCAAAGTAGCTGTCTGCCCCGTCAATGACAAATCTCCCTAAGTTTTTGACCAAAACTTATTTTTCATGCTGTCTTTGTAGACACCACTGTATGGAAAGAAGGGAAATATCTTAGAGTGTTATTATTTTATTTTAACTTTTACTATGACTAGAGTGACTAGTCACAGCTAAAGTATTTTCAAAGTAGTGTTGTGACATGTAACACTTGGATAATTGAGACACTTGTTCGATACAGAAGTTGTAGCTGTAGAACTCCCCAGAGTATCATCTCGCTCTTGGTATCTCTAATGATAGCTTACCATTGCTTTTGTTTTTCCTTAGGCCCTTTCAAGTGAATCATTTGAAAGACTTCCTGTTTTTAATAAGTCAGCATGGCGACACTACAAGACCACACCTGAAGCAGATGACTGGAGCAATCCTAGCAGTGAACCGAGGGATGCTTCTAAATATAAAGCTAATCGATAATTTGCCACCTTTTGTCTCTGTTGGAGGTGACCTCTGCATTCAGTATAAAGTCTCTGCTTTGTTCCAAAATCCTTCAAACCACAATAGCTAATTACTTCCAAACAAAGACCTAATCAGGGCATTGAAAAATACTAAGAACAAAGTGATGATTGGGACTTAAAGGAAGGCACTAAGCACATTTGGTATGTGAATCCTGTCTACTTCACCAGAATATGCTTGGTTGCTTCAGTCATGCATTGACAAAAGGGATTGCACTGTGATTGCACTTAAGAATACAACGTTGTACAAAAAGATACTATTTGAAATGGCCAATTCTTATTCCAATATAAGGATTGTCAAGATGTGCAGAATCCCTTTAAATGGTGAATAGTATCTTGCACAGCAATATGGTATAAGAAAAATTCTGATGTAGTTAAACATACGCTTTGAAAATCCACTCTTGGCTGCATTTTATATCACACAGTGTCACCTGTTACAGAAAATCCCTTTGAGCTCTTCAGATCTTATATCTAATGAGCTTATAAATGCATAGGTCTAAAAAGGGTTGGGCAGCTTTAAACTGATGCTTTCCCCAAATTCCCAAATCCATTTGTCAAGTGCATACAAAAATTATGTTGTTATAAGACCTTGGGACTTCCACTTTTTGGTATGCACCTTAATGATTTTTTTGACACGCAAACACAGAAATGCATTTCTATACATTTTTCCTTGTTTTGAGGAAAGATCATTAGTAGTTAGATCATCTCTCCATACAAGAAATTCTGTCAGTACAGGGGCAGGGGGGTACTTCAATTTCATGTTTATTGCCTATCATTTTGGGGGGGCTGGGAAGGGGAGAGAAATGCTGAAAGGCCAGACAGCCAGTCATACGAATGAATTTGCCTTAAGAGTGTTGGTTGCTTGGAACCTGATTAGTTTAAAACCTGTAAATAGTTTGCAAAGTTATTTATATATTCGATGTCTGACTATAGTCTGGTAATCTCAATTTGTAGTGTATATAAAGATGTTGTACACCAGCTTTTGGAAAGTGTCATTGGTCTAAATACATGAAACTGGAAATACTGTAGAAATGGGAGGGACAAAACATAGCTGGTACCTGATTTATGAAAAAAAAAAAATCAAAGAAAAAACCTAAGTATTTTCCCCTTAAATTTATTGTAAGGGTTATTGCTGACTACTAGGAAACTGTTCTTCACCAAGTCTTTGCCAATTACTGTTTCTGATATTATGGCCTTTAGAAAAATTTGTGAAACTTGGAAGTTCTAGTGATATCCTAGCTGTGGGAATGAAGTAGTGAGTCATAAGCAACTCTGATGCACCCTCAGTTTCTCTTAGGTGTTTTGATATTTTTTTGAACGATGTTGCAGATTTTAGCGTGGAATAATGAAACTTGTTTACTAAAATTGTGGGGGAACTGTCCCTTTTGTCCTCCCAATGTTTATTTTTATAAAGAATTGATCTATTAGGTAAACAGGGAAATGCTGAGAAATTCCTAGGTATTTAAAAAAAAAAAATCTGAGTTTGACTTAACGATAGTACTTTGCACTTACATAGCACACTTCATCAAAGGATTACAAAGTGCTTTGAGCAATAAACTTCATATAGCCCCATTTCTGAAGAGTCAGAGTCCTTACCTTGCAAACCCTTACTCTTCATTTGTTGCAGTCAGTTCAAGAATTTGTATGTGAGTAGTTCATGAGTTTGCAGGGCTTGAGGTTCTGTGGGCTTCACTACACTCTACAGATAAGTCACGCTGGAGCGCCAGGTTGTTTTAAGGCTCTCGTACAGGTCTCGGCGGAGTGCTGCCGTACTGCTCAAGAGGTGGAGGTACCAGGATGGCTGCTGAAGGCTGCCCGACTGGTTAGCTGGTAAGCGCTGCCCTTCTGAGCCCTCTCTGCCAGCAGGTAGGAGGAGGGAGCGTGGTGGTGGGGCTGTCCTCTTCTGTTCCCAAACCAGACTGGTTTGACCCTGGCTGGGGGATCTCTACACGGCATGGTGAGGGTGTAGTGCCTGTGGCCTCCAGAGCAATAATTTCCCACGACTGCAGGCACTGCTGCAGAGAAGGCAAATTGCTATTTAAGTGATACAGCTATGCTGCTGGGGTGAAATCAGAGTAATAGTTTGACTGAAACACCAGTTGGAAGTCACAGCTACTAAAATTTAGTCACTTAACTTTTGCCCTCACCCGTAACTTCTTTCGTTTTTCAAATTCATTTCAAGTTGTATGTGTTTTCTAGTAATTGCAGAGGAGGGCTTGCTTAAAAATAGAAATTTGTGGTGAAACTAGTATTTTCCCCGTTGCCTGTGGTCAGTTTTTCCTAGAACGTTACCTAAATCATTCCAAGGAGTAAGATAGTTTGTGTAAGAAGCTGAGTTTCAGCTTTTGTTAGAAGTCATATTTTGAAGTAGTAAATCCTGACCTAGTGCTTCTTTTTGGCTGTCTCCTTATAAGTGAAGAGGAGAGGGAACAGAAAGAAGAGAAAGGATGCAGGCATATTGAACTTTTTTTCTTGAAGTGAATATAAACTGTGGAAGCCAATGAAGGAAAGCTGAAGATACTGTGGAGGATGTTATGGTGTATTAGTCATTTCACTTCTTTACTAACAAAAACAACTGGCTGGCTTTCAGGACTGAAGTGCTCTAGTACTTGAAAACTGAAGTCCCCTTAAAGGGCACCTATTTCCAAGAACCCTGAGCCTGTACAGACAGCTCAAAGCAGGAGGGCAGAGCACAAGGAATGCATTTTCTTTCCATTTCCCAATGCCTGTTTGTAGGCATTACAGTAAATATGAGCAAGAAGCAACTTTTCTCCTCCAACCTTGTCTAGGCAGTCTGTGCTTTAGTGGAGATCCCAGGTATGCCATAAATTGTTTTTCATCTGTCTTCATGCTGTGTTTCTGCATAGGGGTATTAGTCTGAAAACTGTCTTAGGAAGCAGCAGCAGCAGACTTCTGATTAGAAGAGAGTTTTTCAATGGGTATGCCTGAAAAATGCGGGTGGATGGGTTTTTAACATGGCTAGTTCAGCCATAGATACTGATGATCTTTTTTCAGTTACTTCTGCCTTCGACTGGAGTCTGTTGTAACTATTTGTTTCAGTATCTTGGGGCTGTTAATTCCAAACTTTCTGATAATATAAAAGTATATTTCTTTTATGGATTTCAGATGGATGGCCTGCTAACGTTATTGCAACCTGCTTGTCTTGAGTTACAGGACACATAAATAGAAAAAAATGTTTTCAGTGAAAATGCTGCGTATCTGTTGTATTTAGTGACCAACAGAAACAAACTGAGCAAGAGATGTTTGCTCATTGATTCTTCCTGAGAAATTACAAACAACTTCTGTATGTCGTAGTGTAACAGATAGTTTAACTTTTTTGTCCATTTTGTGTTTTTGTGGTGTGAACGTAATCTATTAATCCCCTGCCTAGTTTAATATTAATAGATACTGAAGTCTCTCCAAATCATATACCTATTTGTGTTCCCTGCTTTTCTAGGCTTTGTTTTGAGGCTAACAAGGGGTTTTTCAGAGTCAGCACTTGAAAAATATTCAGAAGATACTGAAATGCTTCTTTTGCAACTCAAATGCACAGTCTTTGCCTCTGTACTTGACTGTGGTGACCTAGGATAGTACTGAGAAAGTCTTTGTCCTGCTGCAGTTTGTGCTAGCTCTTGGGTAGTGTTTAAAGCAGGTTCCCTGACACATGCTTTAAGAAAATGGATATTAATTGTAGTGTTCTTGGAAAACTCAAGCTACTTTTTGGCTATGTAAACTACACTTGCTGCTCCAGCTGGATAGCATACTCTTCTTCGTCCTCAGTGGCATGTAGAATTTGCTTTGAAACAGCTGTTCACTTTCTCCAAACAGTGAGCAGGAGTGATCTTTCAGTGTAGTGCGATCTATTCACTTCCACCCAAACTTAGTATTTAGGGTGAAATATTGACCTCGTTGACATGGAAGACACTCCCCCCTGCCCCCGCTTTAATAAACACTTCTAGATCTTTGTGTGTTAGGTGCTGCAAAGTGGTCTTGACTGATATAAGTAATTTTGTAGAAAACAGCCTAAATGTTTATTGTTAGTATTTATCTCTTGAGGATAACCCTGTCTGATTGTGTGGTGTTCGGTTTCCTTGCGTATTTCCTCAGCTGCTGTATAGATGCTCTGGTTTCTAATAGCTCTTAATCTCTTCTTCCTGATATACTCACCTGCCTATGAATTAATAGATATAAATGTGATCTTGCAGAACTTAAGAGAATATGATGGTACATGACAGAATGATGTATTACTGAGTTCAAAGGTGAGTTTATTCACAAATGAGGAGCATACTAATAAATTGTGTAGCGACTTCAGGGCTGAATCTTGCAAATAGTTGCACAAGTAGACAGGGTATGAGAGTAATCTCGAATCTGTTCTCAGGATCAACACTTAATTTGAAACAATGAAGATTGGTGTAACTGAAGTGGCTTTCTAATTAAAAATAAATAAGAAAACTTAAAGTTCACATGCTTTAGTTGCAGTATTATGTTGCCTTAAAAGATCTCAGAAATTGGCATAGAGAACTTGTTTCTTAAATCTAGAGGGGATTTTTATGTTGTATCAGTAGGATTGATGTGTTTGTGATTAATTCTGACATTGTCAGACTAGTATTAATTGCTTTATTAAAATTATTCCTTTGACTTGAGTACTGCCGAGAGGTGCCAGATTGACAGTCCTTTGAAATTCATACCCTCTGTAGATCGTATCAGGCAGTGGCAGGGTGCATTTCCAAGTGGCACGCTCTCAGCTCTTCAGCGAGCTCTGTCCTTATGCGAGAGACCTGCTAGCTGTTCCACGCTTGCCATCGCTGATGATCTGTTAGCAGTGTGCTAAACTTTGTGCTGCGTTTCATGATGTGAGTTTCTGGTGTGAGTGGAAATCAAGTCAACTTGTTCCCACCATCGGTTTTGGGACAGAACTCTTACTGGTGAGCTGGCCTGGCATCCAAGAGGGAAAGGGGTCTCGTGTTGCCTTTCCTCTGAGCTGGCATCCTTTGAACCAACTGAACCTATAATGGAGGATTGGGAAGCTAATTTTTCATGAGGTTACTTGGTGATGTTTTGAGTCTTCTGTAACTTGTGTTGGAATTGTTTCTAGTCCAATACCCATGTATATAATTTGTGTATACTCATTTTCCTTTTTTCCCCGTTGCTGACAAATAAAAATATGTAAAAACCATGTGATGACATTTCCAAGGGACTGATTTGGTTTCACACACTGTGGAGCTTAGTTTGTGATTTGGCAGCCCAAGGTCAACTTCACACATGCCTACAGAAGGACACCCTCAGCGAGCTGCAGTTGGGAGCTCAGAATAATTTTATAGAAGTGTTTTTCTTGCCCGTTTTGTCACAAACCAGTTTCAAATCTATGGATACACACATTTGAGTGTTTCCATGTCCGTTTCCCTCCCCCCACCCTGAGATTTATTGTTAAAATCTCAGCATAATTTATTTTTTGTGAAGTTGGTTCTAGAGCTATATATAAATGCAATCGCTTCCCTGTTGTATTACTCTGAATCTTCAGGTACGTTTAATCTGATCTGGTTTGTATCGGATTTCCAGGTAGATTTTAAGACTTGAAAACCTTTACAAATCTTTCATAAATATGTTTTATTCCTTTCAGATGTGAGTCTTTATGAAGTGCTTATTTTCACAAGAAACTCTAGTTTTCATTCTGAAGTTACCTTTCAGTGATTCTTGTGGCACAAGACTTGATTTTTTTTCAAAAAGATAAAATCATGTGCTAACATAACTGAAATTCACAGTTCTTGATTTTGCTGTTACGCCAAGGACCTGATACCAAAATATTTGCAAAGATAGCAGTTGTGTAGAAAATAAAATTGTACTCGATTTGAGTGGAAAAATTGAAATGTAAGAATTTTTTTGCTGATTGTAAATCTGAAGATGGCTCTTTCTGCAAAATAATGGAGCTGCAAAAGCATTTGTGGGAGACTGGTTTCTTGAAAAACTAGTCACTACAGATATTACTCTAGATCCATCACCTCTGCAAATATTATTTCTATGTTATTCGTTGCTGTATATAGATAAGCTCCCTGGGTTCTATAGGTTTGTAGCTTGAGGCAGGTTGGGGGGGAGCGAGGGGGTGCAGGTGGGAATGTGTACCCCAAAGTATTTTGGGATAAAACTTAATTTTCTCTTTTGTAGTCTGAGAAAATTGGGTTAACTCTTGGTTTACTCTCTCTTTTTAACTAGTATTCATGGCTCCTTTCTCAGAACATCAAGGTAAGAAAAGTTCAGGCCTCTTATCTAGAAACTGCTGTTTCTGAATAACTGTCTAAAATAAAGAACCCCAAATTCTCCTTTTTTCACTTTCATAGCGGAATCCAGAAACAGTTAGTTTAAGAACATTAAGTTGAAACAATTATAAGTTAAACTTATTTCGTGACTGGGAGCTCGGCCATTTGAAATTATGAAGTAGTATTTAAAAAAATGAGCTTTGTTTCATGTTCTCCAAATTCCTGGTATTGCAGGAACACACAGGTTTATAAGCAGAAAAGGTGTTAGCATTGGCAAAACATTGAGCTGAGTTACAGAGTTTTGATGCCATCTGTACG